TGTGTGAGCAACTGCCAGAACTCTTTTCATCTTGCAAAACAAACTCTGGACCCATTCAACAATACTCCCCACTCCCCATCTGCTCACACCCCTAAAAAATATCCTTTGGTTTTTGCTATGAATTTGACTATTATAGGTAACTCCTAAGTGGAATGATACACTGTTGTTTTGACTCATTTCATTTAGCAAAATGTCCTCCAGGTTCATCCATGTTGTAGCAAGTGTCAGAATTAGCTTCTCTTTTTAGACTAATATTCCATAGTATATATACAGGTGTGTGTTGCTTGACGATGAGGATATGGTCTGAGAAATTATCATTAAGCAATTTCATCAATGCACTCACATGAAGTATAGTTATACGTACCTCGTATACACCCTGCGTCTAACCTGGGTGTACCGTGGGGGAAACCACCGTTATATATGCTGTCTACTGTTAACTAAAAGTCTTTCTGTTGAGTGACTGTCAGGCCACATTTTGTTTATTCTTTCATCAGACAGTGGACACTTCGGTTGCTTTTTACTTATTGGCTAGTAATGAATAATGTTGTTATGAACATGAGTTTGCCAGGGTTACCAAGCAAAGTACCATAGACTAAGTTGGCTTAAACCACAGACATTTATTTTCTCCAGTTCTGGGGGCTAGAAGTTTAAGATCAAGGTGTCAGGAGGGTTGAATTCTTCTGTGGCCTCGCTCCTCGGGTAGGAAATGACCATCTTCGCCCTCTGTCTTCACATCTTCTCTGCTCCATGTGTGTCCTAATCTTTTTCTTACTTAGAGACACTTTCATTGGATGAAAGCCCTGTGATCTCACTCAACTTTAACTAGCTCTTTAGCAACTCCATCTCCCAACACAGATATACTCAAAAGTAGTAAACAACAAAGGATACTGTTCAGGCCATAACCCTGGGTAACAAATACGAGATTCTGTTTTCCATTCTTTGGATTGTATACCTAGAAATGGGATTTTTTGAGGAACATTGTACAGCAGGTTTTGTCCTTTTCATTCCCTAAAACCTTTCTGCCCCTTATGTTTTTTTTTAAAGAACAAAGATCTCCATGGCTGACATCAAGCATCTTGTGCCATGTGTGTTTTTGCTGGTTGATGTAATTATTTTGAAGTTCCTGGACAGTTTCGCCTTAACCACTTGGGCTTTTTCCATGGCAACTTTTAAATTTTCAACAGAGCAGACCATAGCAAATGTGCTTATTGGAAAACAAGTTTCAAATTCTAACTCTGCTCAGCTACACTGTGACCTCGGGCAAGTCCCTGTGCCTCAGTTTCCTCATCTAGGAAGCAGCGGTCTTTGGGCTGACCAGCACCGAGGGGGTCAGGCAAGGATGGAGATGCAAGTGAGCAGAGCAGGCTGGGTTTGGTGCAGACGAGGGCGGTGGAGACCCTGGAGAACTGAAAAGGACATGCCCTGTTAAAGAAAAAGTGGCAGCCTCATATTGTCAGGCCAAGGTCACTAGCTCTTCTGGTTTCTCATAAGAATTTTGTATTTTGGGCCCAAGGCAGCAGTGGAAAACTCAGTTTTTCATGAGAATTTCCTGTTACTTAATTTGTCAATAATTCCAACTAAAAAAAAAATCTTTTTGGGCCCCAAATACACTTCTCCCTGCCAGAATGGGTCTGTGGATGAGCAGTTTGCAAACTCCAGGCTGGACACCCTCCAAGATGAAGGCCCCTGTACCTGGGCTCTGTGCGCCAGCAGTGCTGGCCCTGCAGGTGGTCCCCAGGCTCCCAGGCTGTGCCTGCTGTCCCCACCTCAGGGCCAAGAGCAAAGGGGCACTGGGCGCTCTCATTTTGTCAGGGTCTTCTTTGCTGTTAGGAAAAAAAAAATGGTTTTGAGTAACAAATAAATCAGGGATTTAGTCCAAAGAAAGTTCCAAAGTGTGTATGCCCTAAAGTATCTGTCTATTTATTGGCAGATCTAGCTATCCATCAATCAGATTTCTAATCTGTCCTGAGAGATCAAGTTTAGAATCGTAAGTGCCTTGTAAAACATTTTCCCATTTAAGATGTATTTCACTTACCACAAAATTCACTCATAGTTTTGTGTTTTTAATATAGTCCCCAAAAAGTAACTTTTACCAAAATTAATTTTAAAATGTTCACTTCCCCAATAAGTAATGTAATGCCTAACAGCTATCATTGCCTAGCTCATCCCTCACTTATGGCAACCCCTAATCTGCTTTTTGGCATTTGAAGCTTTTTCTCTATAGATTTGCCTCTTCTGTACATTTCACACTCATGAAATCAGACAGTATGTGGTCCCTTGAAACTGCCTTTTCAAGGTTCACGCCTGTTGCAGCCTTCATTATTTTTTATTGTCAAATAATATTTCTTCGTATGAATTATATGTACAAGCTTGTGGTGCGGGTATATACTGTCTCTCTTGTTGGGTCTTATGGTTTTTAGCTCCCACCAAATTGTTTTTCAAAATAGCTGTTATCACTTTATAATTCCCATCCACAATGCAGGTGGGGAGGGGGGCACCAGTTTCTACACAATCTTGCCAACACTCATTATTATCTGCTTTTTATTAGAACCTTTTTAGTGGGTACAAAGTGTTATCCCATTGTAATTCTGATTTGTATTCCCTGATGGCTAATGATGTTACATATCTTTTCATATGCTTACTGGTCATTTGTATTTCTTTTTCTGGGACATGTATTGAGATCCTTTGCCTAGTTTTGTAGGATTTACATCCTAAGAGTTCTTTGTATATTCTGGATACAGGTTCCTATGAACCTAATTTTTGTTTAGTAAATTTGGGGAAGTTCAGAATATTCTACTTCCTAAGAAACTATTTAGTATATATGAAAAATGATAAACACTAACAGACTTATAAAATGATTATCAAATTTTAACCATATGATGCTGAAGAAATCTATTTTTTCTGTGTATTTTAGCTAAACTAATTGACAAAAGTACCTATTACATCCCAAAGGACAATCTATTTTTCCATTTTAGTTTTCTATTACCTATATCAGTGGCTTACTCATAGTTTTCAAAAAGAAAAGATAAAATTGGGTTGAAAAGATGGCAAAATGGGCTCCTAGGAAGGTAAACTCTGGTCATAAGAAGGCAGGAGAAAGATTCATTTACTATTAGATTAGGTAGGGGTTTCTTATTTAAAACACTTCTTAGAACATTCTTGATTACTTTAGGAGGAAAATAAAAATCGTAACTAGAAAGTCAGACAAAATGGGAGAAACTTAGTTTTGAACATTGGCAAGGGAGTTACATGTTTACAAAGTAGTTTCCCAAGCAGGCTCATTTCTTACCCACAGAAGTAGTAAGTGGTATCTGAACAGTTGAAAACCAAATGCCAATGAAAACCTATCACTGCAACCTTGTTTTTAAGCCAAAACATAACCGGAGCAACATTTATTGTCACACAGTGTCTCTAAAAGCAGCGTCCCTTGAAACCTAATGGTTTACTTAACCCAAGAAAGCGGAGAGGGTTTATAGTGTGAAATCAGCAGCTCAGTGCAGAGGCCACAGTCACCCTGCTCTTCAAAATCAGAGTTGACACTCCAATTATTTATTGCTTATAACTCCATTTCAGTTTCTAGAAACCAAGAGGACTTTTTCCTACTGTGTTCAGAATTTAAGAGAAAATATCAAGCCAAACATGAAATGGCTTTAATTCCTTCATTTCCATATTCTCAGCTGTCACCAAGCACAAGATGTATGAGAAACCCCCTTACCCCTAGGTTGTATTTTTAACAGTTTCACAGTCTTCTGATCAGGAAAAATACATAAATTTGATTAAGATCCACATTATTTGATACTTTTATATTAAAAAGTTAGAATTTCTATATTTCACAAGTCTTCAGTTGAAGATGTACAAAAATAGAATTCTATGTATCTCCCAGACTACAGAAGGATAGAAGACTATAATGTCCTCAATGGTCTTTTGTCCAGCTGGGAAACTCATACAGGAACCTCCAGGGATGAGGTTAGACTGGAGTTTCCAGAAAGGGTAGCAGACCCAGGCATAAAGGAAAGTGGGACAGTGGTCAAGACATGGTCATGCCCTCCCCCTCCTCACACCTGTATCATGCTTCTTGGCCAATGACTGAAAACACTTTGTTCCTGTGAAACCTTCAAGTGGCAACTTCAGGTTAAAAATACAATTTTTATTTCAGTGGGGGAAAAGACAGAATAAAAATTTAGGGGCTCAGAAATGCACGATGTTAATACTATCAAAATGAGCCAATTACTTCCCAACAGTTAACAGTGGCTGGGACAGCCGGACATAACAGGTGGGTTCTCTTGTGCAGGGCTCTCCACTGCCAGGATCTCCCTGTATTCTCTCAGCTGTTGTCTCACTAAAGGCCACAGTACCCGGTTCTGCACACCTCCCCACCCTCATGTAATGCCGCCTGTTTGTGTGACCCATGGCCACTCTCGGTGAGACCCGGGACACATGGCCTGTTAGAAACGAACCCTCCGGGCACAGTGCCAGAACAACTGAATCAAACTCTGGGGGTGGAGCCAGGAAATTGGACTTTAACCAGCCCTCCAGGGGATGTTGATGCACATTTAAGTTTATGAACCGCGGATGTAATTAAACCTTTCATGCTTAAAAGAAAAAAATGTAGAAAGAAATCATCAGTGCCAATGATGCACAAGGTTATCTTTATAAACTAGCAAAGCGCCCATACTGAGAGGAAAATTAAAGCAGCAAAAGCCAAGTATTGAAAGTCAGGGCCTCTTGATTCACAGTAAGCCACTGAGGAGGCCTGGGTCACACAAGGCACCTCAGAATGCGATAGCATATGTGTGCCGAGGCCCACCCGGAAAATACATCACTAATAAAACCAAATTCTTTAAACTCCAGGAAGGATGAGACTGTATATTCGTTGAGCTCTCAACCACTTTTTCCATCCCCAAAAACTTTTCACCTTAATCCCTTTCACCACAACTTGGATCATAGCCTTGGATTTTGTTCAGGAGGTCACATGCTTATTATTTTTCTTTCTTTTCCAGTAAAGGGTTACCTTCCAGTTCAACATTTACCTTGGAAGAGGGGACCATCTACTTAACTTCTGAGCCAGACGCTCTGGAAATGCAGGATGACAATGCCTCCGTGCTTGATGTCTACTTAGTAAGTCAATTTTAATTCTTCCCTTTCCCTTTTGACTGATAAACAGGTTTGCAAAAGGGCAAGTCCTGTAAAACCAGGCATGCTTAGGTTTAAAAAGAAATGTCACTCCTATAAATGAGGTGTCTTCTCACAAGCTATGCTTTTCCATACTTGGTGCAGAGCATCACACAAAAGGTATATCCAGGGCAGGATCTAACTTGACAGGTACAACCAGAGAACAGATCCCCTAATTAAGGCTAAAGTGAAGCAGGCCCCTTGGGTTCTTACAACAGCAAAGCGAAAGTCATCTTTGACTCAACTGTGTCCCTGTGTGTGAGTTGTCTGCATTTGGCTATTAATTCATTCCCTGATAAATTAGTAGCCTAAAAAACACAGAACTGGGTTGTGAGAAAATCTGAATTCATTGCCAAAGAATCCGGGCTCACACCCCCTATCTGGTCACCCACCAGCAGTGTGATGTGGCAAAAGCCTCTCCACTGTGGGTCCTTATTCGCCAAAGGAGGGAGGTAATGCCTGCCCCGCCTGCCTCACAAGGCTGCTGGAGGAGCACAAGTCACCACCTGTGTGAATTCCCTTTAGTACCCATCAAGTTGTCTATAGGGGCTTAATCTACAGGTTAGATGAGGCCTAGAAAGATCTCCTGATGGGCTTGCCTGCATTAAAAGACACTGAGTATTTTGCTGGTAAAGACCACTTCACGTGTGTTCCCGCCCCCCATCCTTATACACAGGGAAGCCACTATTCTGGAATTTCTACTTTAAGTTTTGCCAGGCCTGGGCCATGACACTCCATCATCCTTGGTGTATTAGCCTGATGTTAGGAATCAACACGACCTAGTGGTATCTCGTACCATCCTGTGGTATTCAATAGTGTGCCATTGCTCTGCACCCCGCTCCTCACTTCTCCGTTCCGCCTGACCTAGCACTCTATTTCCCCAAGTGTATTCTGCAGGACATCCTAAAAGACCTGGAACCCAAGTCCACCAGCCTCTTCCTGGAACCTCACCCAAAGTAACAGTCACAATCCTCAAGGTCCTATACCCTGGCTGACTGCCCTGGCCTTCTTGGCCTTGATCCCGTACCACTCTTCCGCCTCGGGACCTTAGCACTGCTTTCCCTGGCTAAGCACTTCTCAGCTATCCCATGCTTGTTCCCTCACTTCCTTCAAGTCTCAGCTTAAACATCTCCTCTTGCATAGGTTCTCCTTCACCCCCTGTATAAAAGAGCAGCCCCAATCCCAGCAACCACCTTTGTGAAGGGATTTTTTACACAAGCACTGAGTATACTGGTTATAGCACAAAGAGACTCTTTTCTGCTGAGCAGTGCCCTGCCCCCACTTAAAAAAAGTTAAGTTATATCACAAATTTCATATGGAAGTTAGTTTATCCTCACAACCAAGAAGCTAGAGAGTTAAACAGGAAAAAAATTATACCATTTTTGATCACATGGTAAGTTTGGTTTCATCAGAAGTAGAACTCAAGAAAGCTGGAAGACCTAGTGAAATATCTTCCTGAGTTTGAGGGTTCAGGCAATTTGGTTTACCTTTACAGAAATAAGGCTAGCACTACAGCTGGGGCACGTGATACTCCTGACTGTCATCAAGCAAATGGCACTGCTGGTGCCAGTCCCTTACCTGTCCCTGCTTGTTCCTGTAGGGATCAGTTGTCTTGTTAACCATTTTGTTTGCTCTTTCTGGATATGAATAGTTTCAATTATAAAAATACTGCAAGTTGTCTGCCTTTATTAGTCTAACTTTTTGCTTTTGATGTCTTTGACATTGAAAAGCAAAGTTTCAGAAAAGGTTACTGCTTGCCTTGTTTAATACCACAGGCATCCAATACAATCGTTGGTTGTATTAACAGCATGAGAGGTCAAACTAGCCATAAAGCAGCCTCGAGAGGGGGGATGAGGTCTTCCAGGGAGAGCATCTGTTGGGGCTTAGAAGCATTGGAGGGAAAGGAAGAGGAGGAAGGAGTCAAGCTATAGTGAGCAAAACAGGCAGTCAAAATCTCAGTACCCTGGGAGAAAAACTGACCTCACCCAATTTTACTGTGTAGCTAGGAACAGTAAGCGATCAAAATATTTTTGAGTGTGTCCTATAAGCCTATGTCCTAAATACTTTGTGTTCATTTATTTAATCCCCATGTCCACCCCAGGAAGAGATGGGGTTACCAGCACCATTTTACAGATATGGAAATCAAGGCGAATGCAGATTACACAGTGTGCTCCAGGTTTTACACCCACGAGCGATAAGAGCTAGAATTCAAATCAGTGGAGACCAACCCAGAGCACACTCATAATAGTTCAGCTAAGAGTCATTATTTTAAGTAAGTAATGATTTTCTGTTTTACTTTTTTAAATGTGAAATATTGTTGGAATTATATACAGAGGTTCTTTGGGTGCTGCCTCCATGAAGTGTGAGTAGCAGTTTCCTGGCATCAAAGGGCTTAAGAACTGTTGTACTAGATTTTAAAAAAAAAGGCATTTTAAGTTTTACAAAAACTACTCTCAACGTAAAGCCCCATCTTTCTTTTTGGGGTCATCTCTCACCTGCATAAGGAGCTTGTCTCCAGTGAGATGGGTATGAGGCGTATTTCCATAATCAGTAGCTGCAACAGCAAGAAAGTTCTTCCTGAATTTGGAGCTGGAGTAGGAACTCCGCTACCTTCTCTTTGCAGAGAAGTTAAATGACTTGCCCAAGATAAAATAACAAGTAACATGACCAGAAAAATATAGAGGAAAGAGAATACAAAGGTAAATTTCATGAACAATGAAACCTTTTTAAATTTCAATATGAAATGTGATAGCTCAAGATGGATTAAAGCAAATGGCTTGGCATTGTTAGAAAAACACAGAATTTTGAACACTAATAATGCCCCGATAGAGTATATACCACACCCAACGCCCCTGGCTGTGCTTTTCTTCCTAGCTCATTTGTGGTGTATTTGTCCCCCTTGACACAGATAAGGAAACAGGCTGGACTGGTCCAGTTCTTGGAGCTGGTAAATGGCATGGCCAAATTTCAGACCCCGCTCTATAAGCTCTCCTCCCTAACCCTGAAAGCAGGAAGCACCTCTCGCTGCATAGCTACTGATTATGGATCAAGTACAGCAGTTCTTAAGCCCTCCACACACACACATCCCAAAGAACCTTTGTATGTAATTATAACTTACACATTTTAAAAATTGAAGTAGAAAACTTATGTAAATTAAAATAGCAGTTATTTTAAATGCATAAGTTTAGTGAGAAGAGTGGCGTTACATTACATTTTTATAAGCCCTAATATATCCAGTTTAACAGAAGCTGATTCTCATCTGTTCCTGCTTTAGGCTATTGGATATCTGGCTTGTCAGTGCTCCACTGTGGCAACCCCGACCATGTATGGTGATGACAGTGAAAAGGCAAATAATATCTTAGTGTTAATAGGAAAATAGTTTGACCTCAGGGATCCCCAAAGATGATTCACCACAAGTTATTCTAGAATTTAATCCCTTCAGCTGTTACAAAACCAAAGTCAATATAAATTAAAGCTAGTAGGACCCTGGATCTTATGCCTAGCTCTGCCTCACTTTAATCACTGACCTTGATTAATATTAATCTCCCTTTGGGACCTGTAGGTAGGTGAGGGAAAAGACTTTTCCTGCTCCTTTCTAGGCTCTTGGATGAAAATAACTCCTATAGCAAAGGAAAGAGTAACAGGAAAATACATGTAATTTTGGACATGCACGGGCCACGTAGAAATGAGATTCAAAGACAGGTAGTTGAGGTGTCTGTGCCGAGGGAGGGGGTGAGGGAGCTGTCTGGGACTTCAAAGGGGAGGAAAACAAATCATAGGATGATGAGCTCAAATGTTTGGTGTACAAATGTTTGCCAAATCCTACAGTAAGTCAGTCTGCTGTAGAAAGTTATCTACGGTAACAGCTAGTTTTCCTGGGAAAGGGTCCCTATCTAAATTCTTGTAGGCAGTTAAAGGAGAGGTTGAGAACTTTCCCATTCAATGGTTCCTAAATGCCTGCAGCTCAAAACAATCCACATACCAAAATGGCATATTTGGGGGTCATGTACTTTGTCCCCCCTCCATTTTCTCATCTAAAAAAAAGGATAAGAAAATTACTCATTAGACCCTTTCCAGCTCTGATTAGCTGAGGGTTAATCTAAATTATAAGGGGTTACAGGTTTTTCTAAAACAACTGCACTTTTCTCCCCAAATTTCACTGTTTCATCACATCCTCTACCATAAAGCTTCACATTATTTAAACTTTAACTTTATGGCAATACATCTGGTAAGTTCTGCCCCATGGACTTAAAATTTCAGGGTGTTTTCTCATGCTAGAGATTTTAATTTTGTGTTTTGCATGCTCTTCCAGATCTTAATGGACACAGCTCATTGCATTTCCTTTCATATTTTCACTTGTATCCATGCTATGAAAGTGTGAAGGGACAAGAAGGTCTAAGGGGGGAAAGCCAAGCTTGCCTACATCTTCTTGATCTTAATTAGAACGTTTTAGTCAAAACCATCCTTACTTGCAGTGCAGTTGGAGGCTTCTGTGGTGACACTGTAGTCACAAAGTTGTCATAAACAAACATCCTCAGATTTCTCCTGTGGTGCTTCTGTTCCTTTAAGGTAACCGCATATCTATTGGTAGAGGTGACCTAAACCCCTAGTGTGATTGTGTGTATATTAATCTATAATGCTGCTATGTACCTTTAATGTATACTAGATTTAAATGGTGTATGCACACCGACAACATGAAGTTCTCCCTTTTAAGGATCCACAACCATTGTAGACTCAAAAAGCTTTCTTGCTTTTCCCATGCTTTGCTGATTGTCCCACTGTCCATAGGAAAGCATCTGGTTCAGGTTCTGTGTCCCTAGCTCTCCCCCAGTATTTGAAAAGGCCATTCACCCTCTCACTGTTGAGTTCTAACAAGCTGATTCATTTGCAAATATTCAACTCAAATGAGGTGTTTTTTAAGATCATTATTTTATCCAGTGACTGGA